GGGCGGAGGCCGGGGCCCGGGGCCGAGGGAGCGGCCTGGGCAGCGCCGCGACGCCCGCTCACCTCGTCATCCAAGAAGTCCAGGTAGTCTCGCTGCGCCTCCCGCAGCTCCACGTCGTCCAGCACCACGGTGCCCGCCATGCCCGCCACCTCAGGACCGCCACTCGCAGAGCCGCGCGGACGAACCCTGGCCACAGCTCCGCCTTGGCGCGAAAACTTCACAACTTTTCCCGCCACCAGAGCGGACCTCCCGGAAGAGGCGGGCACTCGGGGAGCGGGCCCGCATGCCGATTGGTTAACACCTTTAACCGGAACTTGAGCGTCCGAGTGGGCGGCTCTTCTCGCCAGGGTTTTCCGATGCCTGCAGGGTCCCAGTTTCTCCCGCCCCGCCCCGCCCCTGCTCGGAGGCGGGGCCTTCAGCCACGGGGACGCGTTGCCTTCTGGGAGTTGTAGTCCGGCCTCTTTCCCAGCTGTTGGTAAGTTCGTGTTTCTTCTAAGCTGCAGTTGGTTACCTCTCTTGCTGGCGTCCAAATTAGCTTGGCGGCTGGACTCAGCTTCAAAGTGGCCTAAGCATTACGAAATGGAGCTTTACAACGCAGGAGGGTAAAAACATGAAAGCAAATCGTAACTGCCCTCCAACGGTATGAGGGGAAGGGGTTAAAAGTCCCCGGGGCAGAAAGTAGAATTGGAGGGCAGCAGGAGAAAATTATTCAGTTCAAGACCCCATCTGAATAATGCTGCCTGATATCTGGGCACGGAGAATGGAAAAGGGGGGACGGGGCCCAGTGTCTGTGCCCCTGGGAGCTCCCTTCTGTACTGCCCACAGCCTGGATGTGGATACCACCTGCTTCATTGCAAAGGGTCTCTTGCTTTACGGAAAGACCACTAGATCATCTAAAGTAATTAAGCTCACTGAAAAATTAACAGGAGGGAAAGTGCAAAGTAACTGATCATCAGTCAATAATTAAAAACGCTGCCTAGCAAACCTGAAATTATACTTGAGAGACAAATTGCATGTCCAACTGCGCTTGCAGTTGATACCTCACAGTTATTTGTGTTACATTTTAGTTTGTTTTTTGTGTGATTTACATATAGTAAAATGCACAAATCTTTTTTTTTTTTTTTTTTTGTCGGTTGTGGGCCTTAACTCTGGGCCTGGGCGCTGACCCTCTGCTCTTCAGCTCAAGGCTAGCCCTCAACCACTTGAGCCACAGCGCCACTTCCGGCTTTTTCTGCTTATGTGGTGCTGAAGAATCGAACCCAGGGCCTCATGCATGCAAGGCAAGCGCTCTACCACTGAGCCACCTTCCCATCTGAAATGATTTTTTTAACCTAGGTCACCCATGTAACTACTCAATACACAATAAAGAACATGCCCAATGCTCCTGCATGTTTTTTCTCTTACTGAAACAGAAACTAAAAAACCAGATTTTGAGATAAAAGCATTTGTTAGTCCTGTATCTGAAATTTCTTTTCTTTTCTTTTTGTCGGTCATGGGGCTTGAACTCTGGGTTTGGGCGCTGTTGTTGCACAAGGTGAGTGCTCTCCCGCTTGAGCCACAGCGCCACTTCTGGTTTTCTAGTGGTTTATTGGAAATAAGAGTCTCACAGATTTACCTGCCCCGGATGGCTTTGAACTATAATCCTCAGATCTCAGTCTCTTGAGTAGCTAGGGTTACAGGCCTGAGCCACCAGTACCCTGCTGTATCTGAAAGTGCTATCAATGATTAGTTCATGTGTGAAGGTCTACAAGTCTCACTGTGGTAATAAATTCCCCAAGTATAAAATGTCTAAACAAATATGTATGCTACTTATTTGTATGATTATATATATATATATATATATATATATATATATATATATATTTCTAGCTGGCATTCAGTTCATCATTACTATGTGTTTTATGCCATTCTAGTGGGGAAAAAAATCCATACTAAAAACGAGCTATCAGTTGGCATAATCAAGCACAAAGTTAAATTCCAAAATGAGATTCTGCAATTATATAGTAAGGGATAGTTACTTATTAACGTATATTAACAATATACTTATTAACAATATCTCTATCAGCTTATCACAAGTCATTTTATGAACATATCAACGCACCACTGATAATATCTTGACACTAGCACTAAAAGAACCAGGAAGCTGGGGCTGGGAAGGTGGCTCAGTGGTAGAGCGCTTGCCTTGCATGCCTGAGGCCCTGGGTTCGATTCCTCAGCACCACATAAGCGAAAAAGACGGAAGTGGCGCTGTGCTGTGGTTCAAGTGATAGAGCGCTAGCCTTGAGCTGAAGAGCTCAGGGATAGCATCCAGGTCCAGAGGTCAGACTCCACGACTGACAGAAAAAAGAAAAAAAAGAACCAGGAAGCTTACTTGCAGTATAAATTCCAAAGTCATTTGCAGTAGAAAGTCCAAATGAGTAACAGCCTAAAACTAACACACATTTTTTTTTTCTGGGTTTCAATTTCCACATAAGTAGCAGGAGAAAACTGAGTTAGAAATTCTCTAGTAAGGGACTGGGAAGATGGCTCAGTGGTAGAGTGCTTGCCTTGCAGGCATGAGGCCCTGGGTTCGATTCCTCTGCACCACATAAACAAAAAAAGCCAGAAGTGGCGCTGTGGCTCAAGCGGTAGAGCGCTAGCCTTGAGCTGAAGAGCTGAGAGAAAAAAATTCTCTAGTAAATCTGCTCTACTGTAGCAGCATTCCACATGTCTGGGGTAAATTTAGAGACTAAACAAAGACAAATTTAATTTAATGAATGGATCCTGCCAGGTCCTTGATAAAGACCCAGTTTGCTCTAATGTCCTTATCTTCTGCCATGAAGGATATACATATTTAACAGAGAACATGAGCTCATTAAGCAAAGGAAGCACCATTCATTGCTTGTCTCTCGCACCTCAGGTGCATCTAAAGAAAAAACAGTGACGTTCACATAAACCTCATGCACAGCCGGGGCTAGCGGAGCCAGTGTCTGTCCACCCCCGCACTTCTGATGCAAAAGGAAGATGCACATAGAAACTCCCACAGTAGTGTGCCTGTGGTTTTCTTACTCTTGCTTTCCTGTTTTCTTTCCAATTTAACCCTTAAGGGACCCATGCCAATTGCCAAGGCTAAATGGCCACTAGGGGGCTCCCTGGAAGCCAAAGTTTGCAGGATAGGGGAAAAACAAAGAGATTACAAAGTGTATGCAATCCTTCCATTGCTCTATGACCCCAGGGGCCAAAAAGTAATCAAACGTATCATACAAACCCATAATAAGCATTTCTAATATAGTATGTATCTATATTCAAAAACAACATACATTGCAAAACCTGTTGTTGATAGGGTGTTTTAGGCATTCTACATATCCACTGTCAGTACTTCCACATTCTATCAAAAGCCATGCAAGCTTATGGGTCACAAAATCTATGCCTCCAGCTGCTAAGAAAGCTTAAGGAGCACTCTGCAGGGATAGGCTTGCTGAAACCCGGAGGACTGGTATCACCTGTGGTGTGTCAGAATACCTCCAAGTTGTACTCTAGGGCTTCAAGCATCAGGCCAAAGTTGGTTACGCTGGCTGCTTGACTATAAGCAATTGACTCAATCACTGTGCCTCAGTTTCCTCCTCTTTCAAATTAGGGTAGAACAGCCATCTCAAAGAATGTTTGAGTACTCACTGAAGCAATAAGAAACATAAAATGTTGAGAAAGGCCAAGTGCCAGCGGCTTCAGCCAGCCTCCCAGTGACTCAGGAGGCTGAGATCTGAGGATCTCAGTTTGAAGCCAGCCTGGGCAGAAAAGTCTGTGAGACTCTTATCTCTAATTAATCAGAAAAATAAGCTGAAAGTAGAGCTGTGGCTCCAGTGGTAGAATGCTAGCCTTGAACAAAAGCTCAGGGACAGTGCCCAGGCCCTGAGTTCAAGCCCAAGGACTGACACCAAAATAAAAATAAAAAAGAAGTTACTTTAAAGGCACACACGCACACACCCATGTACACACACATATGTTGAGAAAAGTGCCTGGCATGCAGAAGCACTAAATAAATGTCAACCATTGGCGGTGGTCATGGTGTATTGGTGGATGTAGAGAGGCCAAGAGATGGGAAGAGAAAAGTAAAGTGCCTGAAGCATTCCAGAACAACTGAGACAACCAAACTCCAGCCACCTTCCCCTTCCCATCCCAGTCCAGACATTTCCCTGAAAAGACCTCATCTGCTAGACTAAGTATTTTCACAGCACCTTGCCTGGTAGGGTATTATACACTATCTAGAGATGATTTCAAATTTACCTGAAAATGTGCAAATACTATGCCACTATATATATGGAACGTAAGAAGGCTGAGTATCCACAGCTGGATTCTTAGGGATGACTGCGGGTCAGCGTGGGCATTGTTGCCTGCAGGGAGATGTGGCTACAATGGCCTGGTTCTTGGTGTGCCCACAAGAGAGGCCTGAGGGCCAGATGGGTATACTGGAGGAACAAGTGCAATCAGGTACATCTGGCCTTGGTGCACAGGCCTGCAGGGCCTTGGCGAGCACAGGAAGAAAGCCGTGCTTCATCTGGGGACAAAGAGGTCATAGGTGGCTTTTGAGTAAAGGAGAGATGATATAAAAGTCACACTTTAGCAAGGTTAATCTGGCTAAAGCCCTTGTAGAACAAGTTGAGGAGAGAGTGCTCAGGGAAGAGTACAAAAGGACAAAGAAAAAAATGAAAATGAGACATTTCAAAGGGAAAGGCAGACCTAAAAGTGTCACGTTTAGACAGGGAGAATTTGAGGGATGGGGAAGTACAAAATTATATGGAGGTAAGCAGGACAGCATCTGAGGAGATACAGCAACCATGGAGAAGGCGATGGTTTTGGTACTTTGGTTTACAAAGAAAGAATAATTGCCCTTTCAGTTAAGACACAAAGGAAGAAAAATTTAAGAGACATGCAAGTCTCCCAAAACCAGTAGTAATAAGTAGAAGCATGCAAATTTTCCATTCCATTTGAAAACATTATCTCACATATTGTGAAAAGGGCACGGAAATTATATTTTGTTCAAATGTTTAAAAAGTATAGATTAACTATACTTCAGCGAAACAATCCATTTATTCTAAAACTCTAAGGAAAAACAATCAAATCACAAAATTATGATGCCTGCATCTGGAGCAAAGGGCCCTGGAGAACCAGTGCATTCTGAAGTAAGGTGAATGTTCATTAGTATTGGATTCATAGCAACATCTGTCC